TTTCCAGTCAGCGAGGCACTTCCCGTCGTTATGGAAAACTTGCGAAATACAGTAACTAGCAAAACGACTCTGCTCCTTAACCTCCTCCTCTGTGCAACCCTGTTTTCCTTGTTAGCCACAATCTTCCTAAGTTTTCCCAAGTTCCTACCTTTTTGATGCAGTTCGACGGGGGGGGGGGTTGCATTTTGCGCTACTTCCCATCGACGTGTCGACCTATCTAGGCAGCCTCTTCTCGAGTTGACAGGTTTTACCATGATGGCTAGATGAGCTTGCTCCAGCTTCACAAGAGTTCACAGGTTTTGCCAGAGTGAGACTTGTAAGCCAGAACTAGGAAGCAATGATAGTACAAAATGCCCCTCCCCGTCGTCAAACTGCCCCCCCCCCCCCATTTTTTCGGAATTTTCAAAAAATGCCAGTCCACCCCCGCCGCCAAAATTCTGTCGTCCAGCGAAGGGGTATATAATTATACACTCTCGAAAGGAACGAGGGATATGACCTAAACGCCCCCGCACTCCACCCCCCCCCACCTCACCTAAGTCCGTTGTGGGACAGTTTCTGTGAAATAGGGCAATAAAATGTAGCAAACAGAAAGTTTTTTCTCGGCCCTACTATGACGCTGTGGCAGGGCATTCCTGGTCCTGGCGTACGCCGAGCCCTGTTTTCATCCACGGATTGTATCAGTTAGACGATCAGTTTTCATGAGAATCTTCACAATCTAACGAAAACATGTCTAGAGCTTGCCGAGAACAAACCATCTCGATGAACTTCCTACGTGGATAAAGACTGATGAGAGCTGATAAGATGAGCAGTTATAATGGTGTAACCTGACGAAAACGTTCCTCCGCCCTCGGTGCCTTGAGAATTATGGAAATCAATAATCCTTCAAGATTAGGGCACTTCCTGCCGTTGGAGAAAAAAATCTTGAAAGACCAACTGACCCCCCCCCCCCAAAGAGTTACTCCTCTGGTACAACCTCTTTCTCCTTCCCCACACTGCCTGCCACTTCCTCAATTTTCCCTACTAACTACGCCAGTTTCGAAAGTTCATACAACTCCTCGTCTTTTTCCCAAAATACTGTTATCAAGCCGGGGGAAGTGCAGGGGGTATGTAGCGCACTTGAAATTTGGAGCAGAAAAAAACCGAGAAAAGTCAGCAACCGAAAACATCTTTCTCAAGGGCTACTACGACCCCCTCCCCCTCCAGCGGTCAAATACGACCCCCCCCCCTCCCTTGCTGATTGTTTCCGCACGGCGACGTGCCCTTCTGAGGGTTTACGTGAATCAGATATATGACTTGAATCTATATCAAAAGTGATCACGCTCAATTTCAGCATATTAGGATTGGTTTTCTGAGGAGACCTTGCTGCTATGGTAGGTGCACCAAAAAGGGTGCTCGGAACTAGGTCAAGAGTCAGATTTCTGCGCTGGGAATTTCCTTTCGTAAAGCGAAGTCATCATGAGAATTCAGATGAGATGAGATTGAGATGAGTCATGAGAATTCTCTGTGAACTGTTGGTACTATGGATGTCCTGCATTAGACATCCGCGGTTATCGGATAGGCGGGGACTCGTAGCCATTGCGCCTTTTCACTGGCACACTTCTGCCATTTATCCTGTCAAAAACAGGAGTGCACCAATGAAAAGAGCGTCGATCCAAACTTTCTCCGCCCAATCAGTAATCGCAGAACTTGCCTTTAGTTGCAGCTAAGCAATGATTTGAAAATAAAGCTGGAAACAGAAAATAAATAAAGATAAGTAATATAATAAAAATAGAAAACCAAGAAGTGGTTGTCTACTGTTATAATTACCTGGAGGCTCAAGAAGACACATAAAGCGAAGGCACGTCCTACAAATAGTGACAGTAGAAGTTCCTCGTTCAACAGGACGTCCCTCCGTCTCCCTTTGCTGTCTTGAGTACGACCACCTCCAACCCTGTGTTCCGACTTCACCTATCCCTCAAATTCTCTATTGTTCCAGATGGGAATAATGGAAATTCTGAAGTATTTTTTCTTTCTTTCGAAACTTGCCCATTTCTCGGTTCCTTTGACGAAAACTCCCTTTCCTCCCCAAGCTAATATGACTTCCTGCCGTGGCAACTGAACTATGGCCCCATTTGCTGGGGATTCATCAACAATATCACGCCTTG